CGAAGTTCGGCACGCAGGATCAGGACCATAACATGTAGAGTGTTTGGATTGGTCCTAAAACTTGATGAAATGTAGAAGTCAACGCGTACGATCAATTTCTGAAAACAGATTAGCGATAGCCTTTCCGGATCAAGCACACTTAGCGATGGGAGTTCCCTCACCTATATCATGATTTGATACTCGACACATCCACACAAACTATGCAGGAGTCTCTCAGACGGCAGTGGTGCCCTCTGCCTTCAAGGCGCATGATTGGTCAATATTTAGTGGCGTGTGCTAAAGAAGAGGCTGGGCTTCATTGGGTATAGCGGAGCCCCATAATGGCCAGGGGGCACCATTGCCGCCTGAGTCCCAACTGAGATAACATCGTGCCAGGCTTGACGCTATCGCTGCGACGAAGCCATTCGCACATCGATACAATCACGAATTACACTGACACGCCACAAGTCTGGTCAGGGTCGTCAAATCACGTGAATTTCCCCCATCACCACCCATACATTAAGATACGCTCAAAAACGTAGAGAAAGCGATCAGTATACTCTTTCTTGATTTCCTAATTAAGACTAGCCTAGTATTTCGTATGCCAGCCCTTTGCCTTAATTACAGCCCGTAAACGCTTCGGAATTGAGTCAATTAGTGCCCGGATCTGCTCCTGAGGGATCGCCCACCACGCCTCCTTCAACGCCGTATTCATAGCCTCTCGTGCCTCCTCTGAGGCGCCTATCGTCTTTAATTCAGGGTGGAGCTCTAGGATCTTCGTTTTTAATAGATGCCACATGTGTTCGATAGGGTTAAGGTCTGGGGAATTGGCTGGCCAATCGATGACCCAGATTCCGTGTGTCTCCAGCCATTCTTGGGTGATTTTAGCCGTGTGGATCCTTGCGTTATCCTGGATAACAGTATCCCCGGCTTCGTACGTAGGGAGGAATCCCTCCTCTAACGTAGCGATGTAGGATTTGGCGGAAAAGCCCTGTCTTGGAGAGTCTTCGTCGGGGTCCATGATCACCCGCTCCGACCTCCCTTTACGCGAGATTGAGCCCCAAATCATCTGCGAAATCCCCTTGCCAGGGGTCTTAGGCTCGACCATCTTTGGGTCGTATGCCTCGTGATATAGGCGCCATACCCAAACCTGTTTTCCGCCTACCCCTTTCTCATAAGAGCACTCGTCTGTAGAGTGGGCCCTTGAGAAGTCGAATTTCACGAATTCGCGGGCGAATTGGAGCCGGTCTTTGACGTGGTGAGGCCTAAGATGGGGCCTTTCCTTCGCTCGCCACTTCGTAAGGTGATATTTCTTAAGCGTTCGGTAGATAGTCGTCTTTGAGATCCGGAGGTATTCGACGCGTTCGAGGAGCTCTGTATACTCTATCTTTGGGAATCTGCGTGCAATTTTGACGATATGCCGTTCGTCTGACCGTGATAATATAGGGGGGGGGCGGCCTTACGAGCTCTAGATTTAAGGAGGTGGTCTTGATCCCATCTTTTCTGCGTCCTGTACACCGTACGTTCCGTGACGTTGAACTCCTCCGCTACTTCGCTCTTCGTTTTCCCACAAGATAGGTTCCCTAAGATCACAGCTCTTTGAATATCTGTCAATCGTCGTTTCTGCGTCGATTGGCACTAATTTCATTACCGAAAGACCTCATTTTGATGGTCATGTTGATGATTAAGAGATGGTAGTATTCAGCTGAGATGAAAGTGGTGATGTGTGGCTGACCAAACTTGTGGCTTAGTACTTTACAAACTCAACCGGCAATGTCAATCCGCAGTTGAACATTTCAGGTCTTTCTGATGCATCGCAACGTGACAGGATTGGTACTAGCTGCCGAACTCTTGCTCCGCTAGCAAGGCCTATGGCGGGCGTTACTCAAGACATCAGCAGCGTGCTCATCGACAACCATTCAGGAGCCGCGGTCGGTACCTTCCACGCACCAGTATATATAGGGAGAAACGAAAGCAAGTATATATAGCGGTTCGCTATAAGGAAGCTAACCTGTCTCCTAGATCTGAACGATGTGCTCAACTCGCTGCCTGCCGCTGCAGACGCGCCGTTCAATGCATACCAGCGACGACACGACCAGACCTGCCTTCCCGACACACGCGTCGACCTTCTTCGAGACATATACAGCTGGGCTGACGGACAAGACGAGCGATGCATTTTCTGGCTAAACGGCCTGGCCGGCACGGGGAAGTCGACAATTGCGCGCACCGTGGCCCGTAGATACCTCGACCAGAAGCGGCTCGGAGCCAGCTTCTTCTTCTCCCGAGGCGGTGGAGATGTCAGCCACGCAGGCAAGTTCGTGACGAGCATTGCATTGCAGCTGGCGAGCAGTGTACCCTCTTTCGACCAGTGCATTTGCGATGCCATCAAAGAGCGCCGCGACATCGCGAGCCAGTCCCTGCGCGATCAGTGGCAGCAACTCGTCCTGCGTCCAGTGTCGAAGCTGAGCGAAAGCGGTGGCCAGATCTCATACATCCTCGTCATTGATGCGTTAGATGAGTGCGAAACTGATAATGACATCCGGACTATCGTACAGCTTTTGAGTGAAGCTCGATCGTTAAAGGCAGTTCGATTGCGAGTCTTCCTTACTAGCCGGCCTGAGATTCCAATTCGACACGGCTTCCAGAAGCTTTTGGATACCGAGCACCAGGATTTTGTACTCCATAACATATCCCGATCGACTGTTGATCAAGACATCTGCACCTTCCTAGAACACAGCTTTGAACTCATCGCCCAAGAACGATCCCTAGCCGCTGGCTGGCCAGGACAAGAGATCATCAAGCGCCTTGTCCATAGTGCTAGCGGGCTGTTTATCTGGGCGGCAACCGCATGCCGCTTTATTCGCGAAGGGAAACGTTTCGCTTTAAAGAGACTGAATATTATTCTGGAGAATAGTAGCATTGGTGTCAACGCGGCGGAGAAGCATCTCAACGAGATCTATACCACTGTTCTCCGCAGTTGCATTTCTCCGGAGTATTCATACGAAGAAGCAGAAGAGTTACTATCACTACTGAAAAGCCTGCTTGGAAGCATTGTGACGCTGCTTTCTCCACTTTCGACGCAGTCCTTGAGCAAGCTACTTAGCACAGCGCAAGGCGAAGTGGACCAAACACTGGATGATCTACATGCCATTCTTAGCATTCCAAAAGATCCAGCCCTTCCACTTCGTTTACATCATCCCTCATTCCGGGATTTCCTTTTCGGAAAGTCGAGATGCGAAGAGTTTTGGGTGGACGAGAAGCAAGCGCATCAAGTATTAGCCGACAGGTGTATGCAGCTTATGGCGACATCGCTTAAGCAAGATATCTATGGCGTGGAAGCTCCCAACATTCTTATAGCCGATGCCGAGAGAAGTCGGATTGAGCGGAGTCTTCCTCCTGAAGTACAGTACGCCTGTCGCTACTGGATCGATCATGTTCAAAAGAGCGGCACTCAGCTTTGCGAAAATGGCCAAGTGCACCGCTTTTTAAAGGGGTATTTTCTTTACTGGCTCGAGGCGCTGGGATGGATGGGGAAGATCTCTGATGGTATACATGCTATCGCGGCTTTAGAGTCGTTTGTTTCAGTTAGTATATGTCTAGCTTAGGGAAAGTTCTCGCTAATAGTTCGGATAGTCTAGTAGTTGCCCGGCTCTCTGGAGCTTCCTCCACGACGCGAAGCGGTTCGTGCTGTACAATCGGCGGGCGATCGAGCAGGCTCCGCTTCAGACGTACAGTAGTGCGCTCGTATTCGCACCAACATCGAGCATAATAAGAGAGAATTTTAAGGGTTGCATACCTAGATGGATGCGAGTGTTGCCGAAGGTGGAGGAGAAATGGATTGCGGTGCTGCAGACGCTCGAGGGCCATTCGGACGTCGTCGAGGCCGTAGCCTTCTCGCCGGACGGCAAGACGCTGGCGTCGGCATCGCGCGACGAGACGGTGAAGCTGTGGGACGCCGGGTCGGGCGCGCTGCAGCAGACGCTCGAGGGCCATTCGGGCGTCGTCGAGGCCGTAGCCTTCTCGCCGGAC